AGTGAAAACAAAACCCTATCTTTACAGAGTGGCCTGAGGAAATGCTTTGTAAACTGTTAAAGTGCAGGGCCTCACTGAGCCCGAGGACTTGTACCTGCAGCTTGTAGGGCAGCTGGTGGCAATTAACCCTTCGACCCGAGGGCCCTATGGTCTGTTGAATTCCTGAGATCAGGGATGGGCAAAGGCTTAGCTGGGAATCTGGGCACCCCACGTGCTCCACCTCATAGCTGAGGTCATAAGGCCTCTGTGTCTGTGTGTCCTATGGGCCTGAGACTCAGGTCGCCCATAAGGGAACAATCTGCTGGAATATTTGTTCACCCTGCTTGCCCCATTCCTGTCATCAACAAACCTGTGACCTGGAGCTCAACTGTCCAAATCGTCCCTTCTGCATTCTCCGGGGGAGGGTGACACCCCCCCAACACCTTCAAAAAAGGCACCGGGTGTCTAAGTTTCATTCTGCTTCACGTCTTGCTGCACCCGAGGAGGGACGGGCTGGATCCCAAGAGACACAAAATTCACCCGGCATTTCTACCCCTACTCTCTGGTCCTTTCGGTAGAAAGAATGAGACCCGCCACTATTTCACAGAAAGGAGAGCTGAGCTCCCACAACGCGTCCCAGGCTCGACGGATCAGCGATAGAGCCAGGCAAGGCAGGCCACCTCCTTTTCTCTACTGATTGCTTTGCTTCTCATTTGGAGGATGACCCGATAAGCAGTTCGTGGTCTATTGTTTCTCTGGCTTGGGTGAGACCCTCTCTCTGGTAGAGAATCCCAGACACCCGGGCATCTATCCAGTCCCACAGAGGCCACCACCCTGTCCTTCCCTCCCTTTCTGCACTATGGCGTTTGTTTTGTTTTCCTACAGTCTCCTAGCAAAGGTTTCTTTAGAAAAGCTTTACCCTTGTTTTCCCTCAGTGATGGAAAGGATATCCCCACCCCTGGGTACTGCAAGGACATCCTGGCAGGTGTGACCTCAACCAGCCAGTGGGCAGAGACCTGGGGCTGTCTTTAGGGTAAAGATTGGAAATAGCTCCAGACCCTTAAATCTCCCTCCCCACATTTTCCACAATGTCCTGGGAGATTTGCTTTTGGCCTGGTGGCCTCTGGAGGAACACGGGATAAGAGGACAGGGCGGCCTCTGTCCTCCTCGTACACACAAACAGCTTGGGATCTTGCTTAGGGCCAGACTCCAAGTGAATGGGTATAGGCTAAGATAGCAATTTTAATCTGCTCTCGGGTGAGGCCAATGTTGGGCCATATCACAGGCCAGCCCCTTCTCCGAACAGAGAGCACGCTGCCGAAGTCCCCAGGTGACTCCAGAATGAGGGATCTCCCTACTGACCTCGATACCTCCTAGGAACCTCTTCTATTACCCACATATCCCTGGCGGCGTGGGTATTCACCGGCAGTTTCAGCGCTGAGCTTCCAGAAGGCAATGACCAAGGCCAGTAAACATAAATGCTAGAACAAGCAGGCAATTCTCAGAAACCCTGCGCAGATCTCCAAAATCTGGGAAGCCCAGATCCCAACCCCACAGAGCACCCTGGGGAGATATTTGGGGCCACTCCGGGCCTCCGTGTTTGTGACTACCCAGTCTGAACCTAACTTGTTCGCCCAATGAAAAGGACCCAGGAGGCCGGGAAGAAGGTTGCTATGAAAATCACGCACCCAAGTGTAAGGCAGGAGTGAAGCTGGGCCGTTGCGAGCTGCTCAGGTCCAGGAATGACCCACTGAGAAGTCATCAGGGGGCAGGTCAACTCGAACTCTGGCCTGTGCAAGTCCACGAAGGACCCTTCTCCTACTTGCCCTGGAGTCTTTTAGACCTATTGTTCTTAAGTCCCCCTGGATGGCCAAGTCCCTAAAGTTCCACGTGGTGAGGGGAGGTGGGGGAGGAACAGGAGATTTGGAATTGAAGAGCGGACTCTAATTGCTCCGAAATACTTCAGATGGGCGCTTGGTTTCATCTCTCTGAGCCTCAGTTTCCTCCTGTTGCATGGGAATAGATCGATGGGGTTACTGCGAGAGGTAAGTGAGGAGTCCAGCAGCACCCATCCTGGGACGATTCATCTCCTTCCTCGGTGGCGTCCCATGGTCTGGGCATCATCCACTTTCCGCCTGGGCCAAAATCCCCTTCACCCACCCGTCAGTGCCAGAACACTTGGCCCACCGGGGCGCCCCACTCTCCCCCAGCTTGCCCTTTATCCAGCTGTGCTCCACCCACCTGGGCAACAACAGGACGAGGCCAACCCCACCCCTCCCGCCTGCCCCCATGGATACACTCCGAGGTACTTGCCAAGAGTAGATTCTTTATTAGTTTCTCTTTTTTCTTAAAAAAAGTATTCCTTTAGTATAAAAAATAAATATTTTAAATATGACATTGAATAAATAAAAATAATCTGTCTTTATGAAACATTCCCACAGGGTACATTCATCAAAGAGGAATTTATCCCCCAAGGCCGAGTCCTTTCCAGCGGAAAGGAAGGAGGAAAACATCGAAGGCCCCACGGTAGGCCCACCGAGCTGGCAGTGCAAGAGGGAGATGGAGCCCAGGTACCGGGACCGGGTATGGGGCTGGAGATGATTCTGACCTGGGAACATCTGTACTGTCTGCAAGGAAATCGCGACCTCCCTGGATGCTGAGGCTCCAGCCCCAGACCTAAGTCTGCTCTGGAGACCCAGCAAAGCCAGGCTGGACCGACTTAACCAGGGTTGGGGATAAGAAAGAGGATGTGGAGAGACAAGTAAACTAGCAGTGCTTTTGTGGTTTAAATTTTTAAATAATAAATAAGGGCCCCTATACTTCTTTCTGGATAAACTGCAAAATGACCGTCTACCCCATCCTTCACCCTCCGGCCCAAGCACTTGACCCAGCACGCCAGGGGGAAGTCAACACCAGTAGGTGAAAACCTGAAAATGTACTGCCCGCAAAGTTGTTCACCTAAAGGCTCCGTAATTCCGGGATACTGTGCAAAGCGGGCACCGGCCTGCTGGAATTAGATCTCGAAAGAACACTGAGGGTTGAGTCCCTCAGGCAGCGTCCAGACTGGGCAGAGAGGTCAGGGGGCCGGGGGTCGTGCGGGGAGGGAGGAGGAGATTCTATGGGCTCCTGCGCCCTCCGAGGCTGCGGGGTGGGTCCAGCCCAGGGCATCCGTGTCCACAGGGAGATAGGATGACGACAAGCTGAGCTGGCCCCGGGCTGCGGAATCATCCATCCCGTCTTCCCGACGAGCTGTCTTTCTCGCTATTCAGCTCGGAAAGTCCAGCCCTTCCCAAGCCGTGCCCAAAGGAGCAGAGGAACAGGAGAGTGGCAGGCTGTGATCCCGGACAAGGGTGTGACCCAAATCCACACGGCACTGGGAAAGGCACAGCTGCTGTGGCCCCCTCGGCCACACACCCCACGTCTTGGTCACGCTGGCGGGATGCACCACTCCTAACTTCCCTGTCTCAGACTCAGGCTGGCCTACTGGCCGCCCACCTGCCATCCAGGTAAAGTGCTTAGAGAATAAGAGAACGGGGTGCATGGTGAGGGCGAAGGGTCGTCCCCAGTACTGCGGTCTTGGGGCTGAGCTGCTAGGACTGCCGCCTGCTCAAGGTCTGAGAAGGGGCCAGCGTGCTGCTCTCAGCAGCTGCCCCGGCTTGGCGGCCTCCCTCCCTCTCTTGCTCCAGACCGAGGGCGTTTCTCTGCTCTCCTGGCCGAGGCAGAAAGGAAGACATCAGATCAGGTTCCCTGCCTGGGAGCCCAGACATGGGTGGGAGAGGGAAGGAGGCGGTGCAGCAGGGACCACAGCTTCCTGGTCTGTTTCCCAAGCACTGCGGGTCTCACTTTCCCTGCTCCAGAGAACAGGGACAGCTGCTCGGTCCGAACAGTGCTCCAACATCCTGCACGCGCACTTGGTGGGCATTCAAGACACCCGAGGAGCTTCCCCACCATGCAAGAGTGTGCTGGGTGCTGGGTCAGCCTCATTCCCACGATGGGATAAAGACCCTTCATGGATGAAGACACAGGAGCAGCCTGGCCCACTGCCCAGGGTCACTCGTTTCCACTGTGAACGGCGCCAACACAGCATCATGCCAGGGGGTGCCGGAGAGCACAGTGGGAAAGAGTACCCTGGAGGCAAGAAAACAAAGCCCCCTCTTCTCCACAAACTAGTCCGGCCCCTGCTGCCTGTCCCCGACACCCCAAAGCGAGTCTAGAGAGAAGGGAACAGGGACTCTAGCCAGGTATGGCAGACTCTGTCCCCCGTCTGAGCTTCACCCGCCAGGCCAATTCCACTTGTAACATTGTCAGCTTCTAGACCAGGCGCTGCCAAAAGGCTCAGCTCTGGTTCCCCACTGGGTAGGGAGCAGGGGGAGAGATTAACTTTACCATTTAAAGCACCAATAAGTTAACATAAATAGGACATCATAATAAATAGATAATCACGGCGGGCTGGACACACAGCACTCTTGGATCTCAGGCTTCTCCAAGACCCTGACCTCCAGTTCTATGGCCCCTTGCTCTAGGGGCCCAAAACAGGCTCTGGTCCCCCTCAAGTACCTTTGTACGACTTCACGGGGCCTCTGCAAGGCCTCAGATGTGAGCCACTACTCTGAGCTACCTGTCCCCAAAAGGAAGATTCTGGGTCCCCTCCGAACTTCCTCACCTGTCTCTGCTACCTGGCCCTACCCACTTCCATGTACCCCAATCCTGATCCAGCCACCAGGTCCTGGCCATGCCAGGCTGTAGGGAAAAAAGTACAGAGAAGAGGAAGAGGAGCCCATCGTGGCTTTGGGGGCCTCTCTTCCTTACAGCGTCTTCTTTCCCAGGCTTGAAAGTGGCGTCTCTGCCTCCTCAAGAGCCTGAACACCAGTGACCTTCTGGAACTGGCTACCTGACAATACCTAGGCCTAAGCTTTCTGTGTTCAAAAGAAGACACCGTCCCACGCCTTCTTTATCTTCTAACCACTCAATTTCTGAGGGACAAGGAGTTCTAGGCCCCAGCCCCTCTGGCCTGCCCATGTCCCACCTAAGCCTTCTGAAGTCTACCTAAGGAAAAGCAAAGGCACACACGGTCATCATTCCACTGGGGGCCGGTGACAACCCCCACGCCCTCCCTGTCGGAGGCCACTATAGACAGCTTGTGTGGTTTGACAAGGTTTGAGCGGACAAGGGAAAGCAGAAATGCCACCCACACGTCCCTAGTTACCGGCTCCCAGAGGAAGAGCGCCTCCTCCTGGATAGGGCTGTCTACAGGCCCTGATAGGCTGGGAACCCCTTGGAGCCTGCCAGCAGACCCCATCTGGGATAAAGGAAGCCCAGCCATGCTTTGAGAAGCCCCACATCCGGACCCTGCTCCTGAGGAACCTCAGTCCGCTACACACTCCAAGACCCCCTGTCTAAAACGCCTGCGTCAGTACGCCAATGACTTGCTTGTACTTCCCCAGGAGTTGACATCCCAGCTTCTTCTTCTGGAAGACATCCTTGCCCGAAGTGTCAGGGCCATAGGCCACGTCCACGTGTGCCACATGGTACTTATTGCACAGACGGCAGTGCACGTTGCTGAGGAGGCCCCGCATGATATCTGCAGTGGTGCCGAGCTTGCTATGAAGGCTGAGCGCGCTGGGATTCAGGAGCTTCTGGTCCTGAGTGATGTTGCCCAAGAAAGCACCAAGGTAGGCGATGATGCGATACATCTCCACCAGCTTGGTCTTCTCTGTGCCATTGGCGTGGAAGGGTGGGAAGTCCGTCACATTGGGAGCGCACAGCTTGTCCAGGTTGTTGGGGAACGGTTCGCCCTGGGCTGTGTACTGAGGATCAGGAGGACAGAGGGAAGGTGACCAGGGGGTCACGGGTTGAAGTTTCCAGCCCTGCTCCCAGCCTCGAAAGCTTCTGCTCCCCCACCTACAGCTTGGGGACCCAGCTCCTTGCCCTATAAGCATCCAGAATCGTCATGAGAGCCAGAAGCAATCACAAATGTAATCAAGCTTGCTAGTGATCCAGGCCTGGACCAGCGATGGTGAACCTTTCCGAGCTTTCAGTGACAACGAACAGCCAGCTGCGGCCTGTGCGCCATGGGTTCGCCACCACTGGCCTCGACTGTGTGAGCAGCCGTCGTCACCATCACCGTGACCACACAGCGGAGGGAAGGGAAATGCGACATCTCACTGGGGACACCTCAGCGGGTGCACCACACACACTTACGCTTTCACCTGCCGCATGCTCGCTCTTCCTGGGTGTCCCTCCAGGCACCCACAGCCCCGCTTTCCTCCCTGTCCACTCACTGTCTCTCGTTCCCCTCGATCTCTCGCAAGACCAGATGTGCCAGGCTGCTCCTCATGCCCGCTCTGCCCTTCACTGGCTGGCCACCGAGAGAAAGTGGCTTCCAGTCTCAGAGCCTGGGGACGTGAGGAGGAAGGGGTGGGCGGGTGGATGTCGATGAGCCACACCTACTCTTACTGCCTCCTCCCAGCTCCGAAGGGTCCCCTCCAGACAAGGTCTGCGCCCCACAGTCGCAAGCCCCTCCCTCCTTTGGATACCCCGCAGGGTAACTTACGTAGAGAATAAACAGGGCATTGGCGCTGCCGTTGAGCTGCGCCAGTTGGCTCCTGATCTGGCTCATGACGGTGCTGTGACATGGGTGTCGCGTGGCACAGGTGGCATTGACAGAGGTGACGGGAAGGGGGCTTACCGCCCCGTGTTTCCAGTGCAGAACCAGCAGCAGGGGCATGACTCCTGGGAACAGGCAGGAAGGCGCCATGAGCGGGAGGGACGGCTCGGGGTGCACAGCACACCGGATGGGCGTCGGGCAGGGGGCTCACAGAAGAGGGTGCCCATTCCGCCTCTGCCCCTTCCTCTGGCTCCTCTGGCCATTTCTAGTTTCCCCTGCGTCTTCTTCTCTTTCTCCACATCTCTAGCTCTGCCTCTCTCTGCCTTCCTACCTCTCCCCACTCTCTCCCGCGAGGATGCAAGAAGGAGCCCCGCCACCGGCTGGATGCTGGGCCCAGAGCAACTGTCCAGCCCTCCCTTCAGGAAGGCGAAACCTCGGAGCTCCCTGCCCTCTGGCCAGGAGGCATCATTTCCCGGGAGAAAAGAGATCCCTATCTTCCACCTCTGGAATGGCCCATTTCAGGCCAAACCTCCCAGATGACTCCCCGGGGACAAGGTTTGGGAGCTTCTGTTCACCCTCTTACCTGACCTGCCACTTGATTCTTCAAGAGCCGATTGCCCCTCATTCTGCTACCCCCGGGCCATCTCTGTCCCTCCCAGAGTGGCCACTTCCCTATCCAGGACCCGCAACTCCATCCCCCACGCTGCCAGTCCCACTTTCCAGCCCCAAATCATCATTCACCCCCAGTGCCCCACCCACCTCCCCGGATCCATTCACTCTTCCGCCCGGGTCTACTGCCCCTCGTCCCAGGCCCTGGGTTAGGGCGCGGACCACCCGGCTTTGGGAACTGAGAGGAAACGGTGCAACCAGGAAAGAGAAAAGGGAAAAGGTCGAGGGCAGCCGGGCCAGGAAGGAGGAAAGTGAAAAGCGCCAGGAGAGCGGGAGCTGTCCGGGCCTGTCCCGCTCAGCCCTCCCCCAGGCGCC